AAACATTCAAAAAAGTCTAGCTCCAAAAATAAAAAAGCTACGGTCGTGATTAGAATCAAATAAATAATCCTTTGCAACAACAATACACTTACCTATATACAAGGCGACGCGGATTTGCGAGACCACATTTGAATCGCCAAGTTGTAAGAGTTTCTACCTCATAATCTTTCAGGCACTGCATAGTGCCTTCTTCGTCTGTAAACTTTCCCCTGTATATATTGTTTTTTTTTAACGCAACCTTCCATTGTTCTGCTCAACTCGAAACGTATTAAAAACGATAACGCTTGAACTTTGAGGTTATAATATCTAACGTAAACTGCGTAAACGATAAAGAACTTCCTTACGCATCGGCGACCTTCGAAATTCCGAACTGTACTTCGGTAATCCTCAACATTCGGGTAGTGATTTCAGCACTCGATATAATAGTAGAAGCAATTTAAATTGATAATATTCTGACACTGTTTTCAGCACTGTTTAATATTCCGGTAATGATTTCGGCACCCGGCTTGTCATTGGTTGAATAAATTGAAATTGACCAATAAAATTAAGGCTGGTGCCGAACCCTATACCATAGTGTTAAAATGCGGGCCGGTGTTATCATCGGGTCGTACTTCTTCAAAGACGACAATGGCCGGAACGTAACTGTGAATGGCGAGCGCTACCGTGCGATGATAACAAACTTTTTTTTTGCCCAAAATGGAAGAGCTGGACTTGGCTGACATGTGGTTTCAACAAGACGGTGCCACATGCCACACCGTACGCGAAACAATGGCCCTATTGCGAGGCGAGTTCGGTGAACAGTTTATCTCACGTTTGGGGCCCGTCAATTGGCCGCCTAGATCGTGTGATTTAACGCCGTTGGACTATTTCCTGTGGGGCCATGTTAAGGCTAATGTCTACAGAGATAAGCCAGCAACGATTGACGCACTGGAGGCCAATATTCAAGCATTTATTCGTGAGATACCGGCCGATATGTTGGAGAGAGTGTGCCAAAATTGGACCTTGCGCATGGGCCATCTAAAGCGGAGCCGCGGCCAACATTTACATGAAATAATCTTTAAACATTAAATTATATCGACCGTTCTATCGACTCAAATAAAGATTTAATCGTTTTTTCAAATTTTTTGTTTTTTTTTGAAAATCAAATCCTATACCTCTTAAAAAATCACCCGTTATTCCTCACTATGTTTCTCCGGATCGGCAATGGCTGGAGGACGAGTTTCCAGATAAATTTAGAGCAAAGAGGGCTTATAGATCGACCTGCTAGATCTCCTAATTTGGCGCCATTAGACTTTTTTCTATGGGTCATTTGAAATATATTGTGTTTACTCCCCAACCTGAAAGTTTGAATGAACTTCCTCAACGCATCATCGAATGCTGCCATGATATCCCACAACATGTCTTTGAAAATGTCCATCAGGAATTTGAACATCGCCCAAATCATTGTTTGGCCAATAACGGGTAACATTTTGAACACTTATTGAAATAAAATGTGATATTTTCGTGTGTTTTTGTTTTCTATCTAAAGATTTTTCTGATTTTCTTGAAAACGAATCGACAGATTTTAAAAAATCAAACGTCAAGGACTTCGAAAGACCTTTCAAACAAGCTATTACTCGATACTCCTTGCCATTTAAAATATTTATGGCCGTGGGGGGCAAAGAGTGAAATGAGGTGAAGTAGTTTTTGGTTGAAAAGTTGTCACCCTTGACAAATCTTCCGACCTGTCTCGGCGTTTTTTCTTTTAATCAGCGGTTTTCGATAAATCCGTGGTGGGAAACCCTGTACGAGAAAAGCAGTTTTACAGAACCTTGGTCTCAAATATTATAGAAAAATATAATCGCTAGTGTTCTCCGTAGCTGAACTTCGCTACCTCTAAAGATAATATTTAACCGGTTGATTGTCTTGATATTTTTATACGAGACCAGCGGTTCTGTAAGTCTACGCTATTCCTTTTAAGGAAACAGAATGGTTTACGAATTGGAGAATATCTACATAGAAACCGTTGTAGAATCGCGATTTGTCGCATGCTTACATTACCTCTAAAAGGTGATTAAAGTAGTAAGTACATCAGGGTGGCCGATATATAATTGACTGATTTAAATTGCGTGTCATTTTTTAGATGGTACCGAAGTAGTTGTTTAAAGCACATGCAACCAATTCATCATGGACGCGTACGTATTGTTAAAACGTTTTACTTAAGATGAGTCGATGGTTGCAACGATTCGGAAGCTACAAGATTTCGGTCGACATAATAATAATAATAATAATAATAATAATAAATGTCTTTATTAATCAGCATACATCAGTGAGGCGAAGTTTAGCCAAATGGCTACTCTTACACTTAACCTCACTGTGTACGAAAGAGTAACACAGTTAAACTCGATACACAAACAAACAATAGTAATAATAAGAAAAAGAAACAAATGCACACTTGAACTATTAATATAATAATAATAATAATAATAATAAAGTGTCATAAAAATAAAACAAACCAACAACTCAAACACTGAGAGACGATTGCATCTCCAATAGCTGTTTTCCAACTGATTTCTTAAAAGAGAGTAAACTTTCTTGTTTGTTAGCCGCACTGACTGAATTGTAAAGCTCAACAGCATTATACGTGAAAGATCTCTGATATAATGAGGTGTAGTGAAGAGGAATATTGAACTGTTCATCATGACGTAACCTTCTTGAAATTAAATTCCTATGCGGAACTAACTTATTTGCAAGGTAAATAGGTCTCTTGGTAACGACTGTTTTATGTACAAAAACCAACATATGAAACTTGAAAAGATTATATTGAGCTTCAGCCACCCCAGCTCACAGATCTTGGATGTAACATGGCTATACCTACGAAGGCCGAAAACAAAACGACAACAACAATTTTGAATTTTCTGCAATCTGGTTTTTGTTATGGAGTCAAGACAAGGATAAAACAGTATAAAACAGTAAAGCAGCTTAGACATAACTAAACTTTCCACCAATTTCTTTCTAGTCTTGAAATTGAGAATAGAACGATTGGAGTATAGGAGTCTTAGGCTTGCATATGTAGCTTTAGATATATTACTGACGTGGTGATGAAATCTAAGATTTACGTCTAAAGTAACACCTAGACTTTTTGCATGCGTGACGAGTGGAATATGGTCATTATTTACCCTCAAATCAATCATCCTTTCAAAATGCTCATAGCTGGTTTTGGGACAGAACAACACCGCAAAACTCTTGGTAGGAATGAGCTTCAAACAGTTAGCCTTGCAATAGTCAGTTATATTTACCAGATCTAAATTTATTTTATACGAAGCTTGATCCACATGAGTAGAGTCAAAAGTGAAGGTCAATTGTGTATCGTCTGCGTAAGTATGAATACTACAAAACTGTAATACAGTATGCAAGTCAAAAGTATAAACTAAATATAGTAAAGGACCAAGCACGGAACCCTGAGGAACACCAGAAGCAACATACCATTCGTCAGTTGGTGTGGAAATTTGAAGAAACAGGTGAAGTTGAAGACTTGCCAAGGTCGGGCCGTGTTCGAACTGTTCGCACTCCGGAAAATATCGAGAGAGTTCGTGAAAGTGTAGTGGAGCGCCCCGAGACGTCTACGAGACATCGTTCTCAAGAACTGACTATTCGTCGCCCGTCACAACTGATAATGAGCGATGAACGATATGAACGGATTTGTTAATAAGCAGGGTTGTCGTATTCGGGCATTAGAGAACCCTCGTGTCATCCATCAACAACCGGGACGTTTAATTTTTGAATGTGGTGATGTCAACTGGCCACCGAGGTCACCGGATTTCACGGCTCTTGACATTTTTTATGAGGATTTATTGAAAAATAGGGTTTATGCTAACAAACCAAATACTGTAGAGCAGCTGAAGAGCAATTTTACGGAAGCGATTGAAAATATTCCGCCCGAAACCTATCAAAATGTGATGGAAAATAGGGCTCAGGCTTGCGCGGCTTCCAGAGGCGGACATTTGTCTGATACTATTTTTCATACATAAAAATTGACTTTTTTGTTTCATTTCACAAATATTCAAGATACAGACCAGTCAGTTACATATCGTCCACCCTGTATATGGAATTGAAAGAAAATAGGATTTTACTAATTGCAATTGACTGAAAAATAACCAATTTTGTTTGAAATATCGTTAAAATGATTACTGCCCATGTTTATATAATTCTACTTCAATATTGTAATATTTTACTTACTTAAGTCTATGTATTGGCTCTTCCATTTCTCATAACATTCTTCTTTCAACTAGCTGAAATATCTATTTTATTATTAAAACTCGTATGTACAAAATTCATTTTTTACATTTTAATTATTACAATTAGTAATACTCATAGATATTATTTAGTATTTATGTAGGGCCTCTTTATAAATGAGATCAGTCTTCCACACTTGATATGAACACATGAAAGATATCGGATGATAGACTCTACTAGAACATTAATGATTTTTATTAAAAGCCGCGATTGCTTTTCCAACTATCAATCATAACTTGAAAGGTTATTAATGCAATTAATGTACAAAAATGATGTTACCCCGAATATTACCTAGGATTGTATTCAATGCCTTATAAAAACTGTGAGCTCTTTCTATGTGATACTTTGAAAAAATGGAACTCTTTAATAAAATGCTACCAAACATCTCTAATATCCACAACTAGTATTCTGCCAAAAGTTTCAACCCAAAAATGTACGAAGAGTTGAACGATTAGTAGATCCCTTTAAAAGTATCGATTCTAAAGAATTTTTTAAAATCGTGCTACTATTTGCTCAGCAAGAAAATGCAAGGTGAAGGAATGAGGCCGCAAACAGGGATGATATCAGACATTGTGCGTGAAATGTACAAGGTGATCCATGAACAGTATTTTAAAATATTCAATTTTTTTAAATGGTTCTAGCGCCCCCCCCCTGCATTATTTCGTCTGGCAGATAATAGATTTTGTTTTATTTTTTATTGATGTTGTAGTCTATGATAGCACCGCATATATAGATACACTCAGAACTATTGGAAGAGCTTTAGTGAAAAAATACAATTCTAAAACGACTTCATAATTTCTACAAATGTGCACTTCTAATAGTCATCCGGTTTCTTCTTCCGGGAACAGGCTGGTGTCACCTGTAACAAAAATTGACGATATACTTATCAAGAGTACCCAGGTTACATTCAACTAGTTTGATCATGCTTGTAAACAAGTTACTTTAGTAGAACTGAGGTCTCACATATTGTGTATTGTTTATCAAGTTCCTGGAATCAAGCTTCACTCGACAATCGACAACCACAATAGTTTCTCATGGGCCACTAGCTTTAAGTTTTTTTGGACAATCCCAGAGAAATCTTCTTCTGGAGATGCGGGTATTAAAAAACAGTTATTGATATAAATATTATTCGCGATTCTAGGAATCTAAAAGACAAAATGACTTCAGGATTCGATGGTGTTCCCAGTTTTATAGTAAAAGATTGTATTTATGTGTTGGCCAAACCTCTGTGTGCGATTTTGAAACTAATGCTATCAACATGTATACAGGGTGTTTCAGTTTATTGTTGCATAACTTTAAGATTCGATAGAACTTTTAAAATTAATGCATAAAGTCTATATAAATACAGGTCGAAAAATACGTGGCTTCCGAAATACAGGGTGTTTAAATTTACTTTCTAAAATAGTTTTTTTTTAAATATTTCGAACTATATTTGATGTATAACAGTGAAAAAATTGGTATACAAGGGTTTTTTGGTACGACAAAACGAACCATGGGCATAGTTTTACTGTAGCCGCTAGAGGGCGCTCTCTACTGTACCTGTAGTGTATTAAAATAACCGAAAAATTTTTCTTAGTGCAATTTTTTGTTTTTTGAATAAAAAAACTGATTCTTCGCACTTTTCAACATAAAAAAGTTCTCTTGCGAATTTTCGTTATATACTAAGTGACATATAAATCCGAACACCCAGTTTAAATGGTTTTATTTTAATAAAAGTTGTTGAATGTATTTATCTTACTGTAAATAACAAGTGAAAAAATTTACAGCCTTATCAGTTGGACATTCCGGTTTTATACTGCTTTTTTTTAATTCAATAACGCTCTAAAAATGAATATTTCAGCCGCAGTAAAGAATCAACGTTGGCGGATTTTGGTTCTTGACATCCGTTACGATCGGTTACGATGCCTAGAGTACGGAGACCTGTACGATTTCGTCAATTTAGTGAGTTTGATAGGGGCCGTATAGTGGGACTTCGGGAAGCTGGACTTTCTTTTCGGGCAATTGCAGTTAGAGTGCAAAGAAGTGTAGACACTGTGGTTAGGTGTTGTCAGGCATGGCTTCGAGAAGGCCGTACGCAAAGAGCAAGGGGCACTGGACGCCGCCGTAGAACACCAGACCGTGAAGATCGCCGCCTAAGATTATTGTCCTTAAGGGACCGTTTCTCCACTACCAGGTCCATTGCAAATGAATGGTTTGCAGATCACGGAAGACCTATTGGCATGCGAAGTGTTTACCGACGAATGAGAAGTTTTGGCTTGTTTTCATACCGGCCACACTGGGTCCTCCCTTTAACTCGAGAACACCGACGTAATCGCCTTGAGTGGTGCAGACAACGGTCACTCTGGGATCAGGAATGGAACAGTATTGTCTTTAGTGACGAGTCTCGATTTTCTTTAGGCATGCACGATGGTCGTGCCAGGGTTAGAAGGCGACGTGGTGAAAGGAGGAATCCACAGTTTTTTGTTGAAAGACATGTTCATCACACTGTTGGAGTTATGGTTTGGGGTGTTATAGCTTATGGTTCCAGGTCACCTTGAATCTTCATCAGAGGTAACATGAACGCGCAGCGTTATATCCACGAAGTACTAGAACCCCATCTTTTACCCAATCTTGACACCCTGCCAGATCCAACTTTCCAACAAGATAATGCCCGACCACATGTTGCAAGAGTCACAATAGACTTCTTTCAACATAATGATGTCACATTGTTACTATGGCCACCAAGATCTCCCGACTTATCCCCAATTGAGCACGTGTGGGATATGATGGGTAGGAGATTGCTCAATTTGCAACGTCCTCCTCAGACTGTAGAAGCACTTCGGGAGGAGTTGGGGGTTGCCTGGAATGAGATATCACAGGAGGACATTGACCACCTGATCAGAAGCATGCCTAGGCGCGTTGGAGAATGCGTAGCACATCAGGGTGCATCCACACATTATTAAAGGTCAAAAGGCTTTAAAGCAGTGCAATCATTTTGAAATTTTTATCATTTACTTATTATGCTTCATTAAGTACTTAAACAAAATTTTATTAAAATAAAACCATTTAAACTGGGTGTTCGGATTTATATGTCACTTAGTATAGTTAGCCGTTTTTGAAATATTTCGATTTTTAAGGTTCGATGCATTTTTAATTATTTATGGGAAAATAATATTTTTTTTCACATTTTCGATTTGGGCATTACAAGTAATTAAGATGATCGTTTAGATTGTGTTTTTAAACACAACAATAATTCCTAACTCCAAATAAACACAAAAAACAATATTAATTTGTTTAATTTTCCAATATTATTTTTAACAAATTAAATTAATGATATATTTACAACTAAAATGCTATTGGATAGTTAGGACAAACATACAAAATCTAAAGTAGTTGCTCGAAATGTAAACCCAATTGTTCAATGCACAATTCACATCTACGGATGATCGAACGTGGTATAGCATTATTCAAATAAGGCATTATTTCATCACATGCATTCCTGATTCTGTCTATTAGCATATCTCTTGTGGTTAAGGGAGTCTGGTACACTTTTTCTTTTTTATATATGTTTATATAGACTTTATGCATTAATTTTAAAAGTTCTATCGAATCTTAAAGTTATGCAACAATAAACTGAAATACCCTGTATAATGAAGCAATTCTCGTTCCGTGGTCAGCCCTGCCTTGATCATACTACACGCCCTCTATTGTCGAACAGAAACATCAACCATTTGTATCGAAGACAGAAGTACAAATAACGACACTCTGAAGTCACATTATCTACCAACTGAGCACAGGGTTAGTTATAGTTTTTCCCCAAATTATAACTAGAGAAATGGACAGGGTAACAGAGTTTTACACGGGATAAAATTGTTTTTTTATGTTCCACTGTTAAACTATTGATATATTTCCGTTGTTGGTAAATTTCCTGTAATAGGGTGCAGCCTGTATATGTGTAATAAATGATAACTTTCACAATTGCTAAGACATTTTAGTATCTATAATCAGTACCTGTGCGGTCTCCAAGCTGCAGATTTTCGGTACTTGCACGTAAGTACTTTCTTGAACGCTTGTCGGAACACCTTGTTGAATATGGTGTAAAAAACGGGATTGACCATACTGCTGGCATACCCGAGCCACGTGACCAGCTGCACGGCCCAGTTGTCCAATCCCTTGTCACACTCGTCGCAGAACGTAGGCAGCAGGTTGAGGATGAAAAATGGCGCCCACAGTACCACAAATGTGAAAAACACCACGCCTAGCACCTTGGTAGCTTTCTGCTCTAATCTGAAAAAGGTAGTTTATTTGGTTTTAGCGGTTGACAAACCTCGGCGAGCCGTTCGACATTCGAAAATGTGGATAGACTGTTTGGCTTGGCTTGCGACCCATCCGACAGGGCGTTGGTTTTTAAGCACAACCCAAAAGGGTTTACGATACGCCTTCGCGTGACGTGCACACGTTTTTGTGGATTTGTGCACCGCAGTGGACATGTGATGCGATTTGATGTTAAGTAAGGATACATAAAAAATAATCGACAAGAGTACAAAGGGTACTATAAAAGTATTGCAATACAGCTTTATTTACTGACTTCGTTAAAGGGAATTTCCACCACATTCAATGCGTACACTCCTCCATCGTCCAAAACCAGTCCTTAAACCAGCTCTGCCAAGTTTCATCCGGGAGTGCCGCACATGCAGCCTCCTGCCTCCGTCTGTTAAGTCGTATTGCAAAACTTTTATAGTCCCCTTTATATGTTGTATAGATTGTCTATTATTTTTATAATAAAGATACGTTAAAGCAAATAATACACTGATGCACTCATAAACGTTTGGACGTGTCCCAGAACCTAGCGATACGTTTCTAGACGCTTGGCTTATGAATCCGACATGGTTGTTGAGATTGTAATTATATTTATGAATACTATACATTATTTGGGAAAACATCTACCTGATAAAAGGAAGTATGAGGCTGTCGGTATCGGAGTATATTACATGAATTAGCTAAATTAAGATCTATTTAAGATTAGGGGAAACAAATACCTGTACGTTATATGATTATAAGGCATGGTCACATAATCTGATTTTAGCGGATAAATGAGTATTAGTCAGGCATGCGGTTGAAAGAAATTTGTTTTGAATACACTGGTCAACACTGGTTTTGCCACACGAACTTTGACAGCTAATTTTGTTTTATCAGTCTACCCTCATTATTACATGACAGCTGTCATATGTCTATTAGCCTCATATTTGTTGTGATACGGTAATACTCATAACTAGTACTACGGCAGTAAATTAACAGAAACGCTTACAAGTAAATCCTTATAAAAATATTTGTTGTTGAATTTGAACACTTTTTTGTGATTTATTAACCCTGTGAATATGTCGAGGAAGTGTAATAATGATCCTAACTCTTTTGTTATGTCTGCGGAGAATTAACATTCAAAAAACGACGAAATTTTACGAATCTTGTGTTGGAGTGTTGTCACCAATGTTTTGGTTTTTCTGTCGCCCATCAAGACAAATCCTGGGCCCCTCATGTCTGTTGCATAACGTGTGTGAAAAATTTAACTGACTGGAAGAAAGGTGCACGACCTATGCCGTTTGCTGTACCCATGATATGGACTGAACAGCGAGATCACGTTTCAGATTGCTATTTTTGTCTCACAGACATAAAAGGTATAAATTACAAGAAAAAAAAACACAGTTATTTACCCTAACTTATCTTCGGCTATAAGACCAGTCTCTCATTGTAAAAAATTGCCAGAACTAATACCAGTTGCAACTACGTCTGTTGAGAACAATTCACAACCGTCCACTTCAGGTGAATGTGTTGACGAGGACGATGACTTTGAGTTAAAAGGAATTGTAAACGAGCCACATTTGATAACTCAAGGAGACCTAAATGATTTGGTTCGGGATTTAAATTTGTCAAAAAAGCAGTCAGAACTATTAGGATCACGTCTAAAAGAATGGAATTTGCTACATCATAATACAAAAGCTAGCTATTTTCGAAACCGTGATCAACACTTCAGAACGTATTTTTCTCAGGATGGAGATTTGGTGTTTTGCAATAACATAAATGAGATTATGAAAATGTTGGACATAGATTTTGATCTCTCTCAGTGGCGTTTATTCATTGATTCTTCGAAAGCAAGTCTAAAAGCAGTGTTATTGCATAATGGAAATAAGCTTCCGTCTGTACCTCTGGCCCATGCTGCAAATATGAAAGAAACCTGAAATGAAAATATGAAACTTTTACTTGAAAAAATAAATTACAGTACATATTCCTTCAAAATCTGCGGTGATCTTAAAGTTGTTGCACTATTACTTGGACTTCAGCTGGGTTATACAAAGTTTTGCTGCTTTTTATGTGAATGGGATAGCCGAGACAGAACTAATCACTATATAAAAAAAAACATGGCCTACGCGTGCATCGTTAGTTCCTGGGCAAAAAAACGTAAAGTATTTACCCCTTGTACAGCCAAATAATGTGCTTCTACCACCATTGCATATCAAATTAGGATTAATAAAAAATTTTGTGAAGGCAATGGATCGCAATGGGAGTGGGTTTTTGTATCTAAAAGAAAAATTCCCTAAAATAAGTGATGCAAAGATAAAAGAGGGTATTTTTGTTGGCCCTCAAATTAGGGAGTTAATAAAAGATTCAAGATTTGAAGAAAAATTAAGCGATTTAGAAATATCAGCATGGAAGGCTTTTAAAAATGTTTCAAATTTTTTGGGTAACCACAAGAGTGACAGCTACAGAGAGTTGGTTAGCGAGCTATTATTGTCATATCAAGCATTGGGTTGCAACATGTCACTTAAGATCCATTTTTTAGACTCGCACCTGGATTTTTTTCCTGACAATTTAGGGGCTGTCAGCGACGAGCACGGTGAGAGGTTCCATCAGGACATTTCTAATATGGAAAAGCGGTACCAGGGCAAATGGAGCCCAAATATATTAGCAGATTACTGCTGGACAATTAAAAGGGATCAACCAGAAGCTAAATATTCAAGAAAATCTTAGATTATTAAGTCCTTTATAAAAAAAAATAACTTTTGATTTACGAGATCTGTGTTTTTTCTTAATATTTTAAATTACTCAATAGAATAAAATCCTTGTCTAGCAAATTTGTTTAACTGTTTATTTTTTCTTACAATCACCAATTAAAGTAAAAAATATCAAAAAAGTCCGTGTGGCACGACAAAGTTAAAATTTTGTTGACCAGTGATATTTTTGTTATCGAACGATGACTCAGTCAACAATGTAGTTACTTTTTTAATCTATGTTAGAATAAGTAGATTTGACTAGATTGAAGTAGTAAAATTGTACCTGATGATTCTTCCATGCCTGGATGAATTCCTGGATATAACACTGGAGTTCCTGCTGTGGTGAGGCCGGATTCCCTTGCCCCCTCCCGCAGTACCCGCGTTGTTGAAGGCGTACCTTTGGAGCAAGCAAGGCGAGGAAGGGTTCTTAGCCCTGTCTCCCAACCCGGGACTGCTTCCTCCTACCACGCTGTGGCCGTTTTGACGCAGCGTCGCTGATCTCAGCAACAGCGGGGTGCGTTGGCTGCCCAAAGGACTGGAGTTTGTTACCAGGATTGATCGGGTCGTACCGTAGCTTGAACCTAGCACCAAAAATGTTTTGATATCAATTACTACAGGTACAGCGATCTATGACACATGGAAAAAGTTCAGTAGTGTTCATCCGTCGTGTAAAGAATTTCAAAATCTGTTCTTATTGAGCCATAGATATGGGAGCCCTACAGAATATGTCATAACGTTTTTGGTCACGGATTCAAGCCAAGATTATCATCGCATAAATCTGTCAAACTGTGTTTTATACAGCTTGGCCGGGTTCTTTTGAAAATATTTCTCTTTCATCGTTGTTTTGTGTGCTATTGCAAAGAAGTATGGTGTCATGTGACCTCATAATGGCGATCTGCTGGGGTTACAAAGAAATCGTCAGGCATAATGTTTCGCAGGTTAACCGAGGCGTTTTTAATTGCTAGATTTTTGACATGTTGAGAAATTTAAGTCGGACCGGAATCAATATGATATACAGGGTGTCCCAGAAGTCGACGTCAAGCCGAAACCGGGTGATAGGGAAAGTCATAACAGCTATCAGAAAAATATTTAAATTATCTATGTGTTTTGAAAATTATAGGTCTTTGAAAAAAATATAGAAATTTCACACCCTACGGCAGTCTGTCAACTCCTGTTACTACAAATATTAACTTTTTTTAGATTTTATTTTTACAATGTAATGATGAATAATGCATCTTCAAACTGGTGTCTCAACCTTACTGCCAACTTTTTTCGTTCAGGAAAAATTGCCACTTATTTCCCAACCAAGTATTCCAAAGTAAAACTTTGCTCAACTTTAACTGGCTGTACTGTAAAAAATTTACTACGAGAGTTTGGCAAGTAACCTTAAAAGTTGGCGCATTTAATAACGATTCCAAAATGGTATAACAATTAGAAGATTACTCGTTAACTTATGCACAATTTTTATTTGAAAAAAAACTGATGAAATTTTTTCAAAATTTCCTAATTAAACAGCGATTATGAAAACGCACAAGGACCCTTAAGGATAACTGTTTGCACAACAGTGGGCGTCAAAATGCTGCTGACGATGATTTACCTTTACAGCAAATGCTCAAACTGTTTTCCATCAGCCGCAATACACGCTCGACATCTTCTTAAAAAAGATCGGGTTATTAAATGAGCGAATCCACGGTTATTAACAAACTCAGCTGCTTCCAATAGTCTTTGCCGTAGCTCAGCTACATTTTGAATGGGCTTGAAATACACTTTTTCTTTTACAGTTCCCCAGTAAAAAAAATTAAAGGATTCAAATCAGGTGATCGGGCTGGCCACGGTATTGTACCAGACCGCCCTATCCATCTGCCTGGAAAGTTTTGATCGAGATACTCTCTCACTGAGAGTGCATAGTGCGCTGGGCAGCCATCATGCTGAAACCACATGTCCCTGTAAATACTCAGTGGCACGTCCACCAATAAACTTTGTACATGATTTTTCAAAAAATCCAAATAAACTTCAGCAGTCAAAGTCTCTGGCAACTCAAACGGACCGATTATTTTACCATTTAAAATTCCTGTCCAATGGTTTATCTTGAAGCGATATTGAGATTTATCTTCTCTCATCAAATGTGAGTTTGCTACGTGCCACTCGTGTAAGTTATGCAGGTTCATGTACCCATCTTTCTTAAATGTGGTCTCATCCGACCATAACATTTTTTCAAGGAACTGTGGATCTTTCCTGTGTCTTTCTAACATTGTGCGACAAAAAGCAACTCGGGGCTCATAATCCCGGGGCAGGAGTGATTGAATACGCTGTATGTGGTATGGATGAAGCACATCACTTACTTGCTATTGCACACTTTGATACCGATCAGTACTCATTCGTTTACTGCGCATCTTTACATGTTCGTGCTTGTTGATTTCGTACTGTTACTAATTTTGGATTCGTGAACTGGACTGTTGATCGCTTGTGATTTGGATTTGGACTGTTTAATTGCTCTTCAAAACAACATTTGCTTTCCTTAGACTATCTTTGATAGTGTGATTGTGCAGTGCCGCTATGTCCGTGTACACCGTACAAGAATATGCTAACATGCACCTCATTTATGGGGAATGCAGATGCAACGTTAGTGCTGCAGCGAGACTTTACTGTTAGAGGTACCCGAATGCAGCTCGTCATCCAGATCATCGAGTGTTCACAAATGTGCACCGCTTACTGTTCTCAGAGGGCCAACTACCAAACCAATCACACGGTGAGGGAAGATCTTTCCTTCCTTACGAAGACGTGGTGCTAGGAGCTGTCGAAGAAGACTCGAGTACTTCAGTGCGTGCAATAGAACTAAAAACAGGTGTGCCCAAAAGTACAGCCCATAGAATCTTGCAAAAAAACGTGCTCCATCCATACCACGTACAGGGTGTTCAAGCTCTTCTGCCCCGGGATTATGAGCCCCGAGTTGCTTTTTGTCGCACAATGTTAGAAAGACACAGGGAAGATCCACGGTTCTTTGAAAAAATTTTATGGTCAGATGATACCACATTTAAGAAAGATAGGTGCATTAACCTGCATAACTTACACGAGTGGCACGTAGCAAACCCACATTTGATGAGAGAAGATAAATCTCAATATCGCTTCAAGATAAACCATTGGAGAGGAATTTTAAATGGTAAAATAATCGGTCCGTTTGAGTTCCCAGAGACTTTGACTGCTGAGGTTTATTTAGGTTTTTTGCAAAATCATTTAGAAAATTTATTGGAGGACGTGCCACTGAGTATTTACTGGGACATGTGGTTTCAGCATGATGGCTGCCCAGCGCACTATGCACTCTCAGTGAGAGAGTATCTCGATCAAAACTTTCCAGGCAGATGGATAGGGCGGTCTGGTACAATACCGTGGCCAGCCCGGTCACCAGATTTGAATCCGTTTTTTTACTGGGGAACTGTAAAAGAAAAAGTGTATTTCAAGCCGATTCAAAATGTAGCTGAGCTACGGCAAAGACTATTGGAAGCAGCTGAGTTTGTTAATAACCGTGGATTCGCTCGTTTAATAACCCGATCTTTTTTAAGAAGATGTCGAGCGTGTATTGCGGCTGAAGGAAAACAGTTTGAGCATTTGCTGTAAAGGTAAATCATCATCAGCAGCATTTTGACGCCCACTGTTGTGCAAACAGTTATCCTTAAGGGTCCTTGTGCGTTTGCATAATCGCTGTTTAATTAGGAAATTTTGAAAAATTTTCATCAGTTTTTCTTCAAATAAAAATTGTGCATAAGTTAACGAGTAATCTTCTAAGTGTTATATATACCATTTTGGAATCCTTATTAAATGCGCCAACTTTTAAGGTTACTTGCCAAACTCTCGTAGTACATTTTTTTCCAGTACAGCCAGTTAAAGTTGAGCAAAGTTTTACTTTGGAATACTTGGTTGGGAAATAAGTGGCAATTTTTCCTGAACGAGAAAAGTTGGCAGTAAGGTTGAGACACCAGTTTGAAGATGCATTATTAATCATTACATTGTAAAAATAAAATCCAAAAAAAGTTAATATTTGTAGTAACAGGAGTTGACTGCCGTAGGGTGTGAAATTTCTATATTTTTTTCAAATACCTATAATTTTCAAAACACATACATAAAATTTATTTAAATATTTTTCTGATAGCTGTTATGACTTTGCCTGTCACCCGGTTTCGGCTTGACGTCGACTTCTGGGACACCCTGTATACAGGGTGTTCATTTAAAAACTTCCCAAGACGGATTTATCGAAAAACACTGATTAAAAGAAAAAACGCCGAAACGCGTCAAAAGATTTGTCAAGAGACACAACTTTTTAACCAAAAATTACTTCACGCTCTGCCCCCCAAAAGAGATTCTAATATCGCTTCTCTAGTTACTATTTGGCGTGATCCTGTTGTTCCTTTTAGAAACGGAATAGGAAACAATTGATGCTGACTGTACGTTGTTAATCTATCTATTCTTAAGCTGATCGAGCTGCGGTTCAATTTAACTGTTTTCTGCATAAAACGCGCCACCTCTTATCCCGAAACTCAATTAGTCTGGCCATTCCGAACCGCCTTCGGAAAATTCAATCTCCAACGCGGGTGTATGTGAGCCAACAACAACATTTTCCCAAACTCCGTTTTCAATCCTGATTCGCATCGTGCACCGAGAACAGCATCTTATCAAAGGTAATCCCCCTTCTGATCCATCTAGGCTTTTCTCGTTGGGTAGCGGTCGCGTAATGGAAAGCTCTGAAGTATGAGGCGGTCGGTGTCCAACCCAGACATATTAGTTGTTTCAGTTCGATTGACACCACGCGAATGTGGCCCGCTTGATTATTTAAAAAAATCGCAATTCTGTCTCGTATATACAGGGTAGGGTGACTTTGAAGTTGAGTCATTAATTTTCAGATAATGATTGTAGAAGGAAGATAAACCAAAATATGTGTGTAAAAATAAAAAAAAAATTTAAAAAAAAAATTTTACCTTGTTTTATAAAGTATCCTCCCGACAAGTATTTCAGTGCGGACCTGTATTTGATCGTGAGGTCCCCTGTGAGGTCTTAAGTCACCTGATTCACGAGCCCGTCGTACTACATTAACAAAGGCACGAGGGGTTGGTTGCACTCGATTGGGAAACCGATCCGCATAAACATGTGCCATTTTTTATTTCGTTTGAGCCACGCAACAGACACCACTATTCACACGCGTTACCGACTGACACTGACTGTATGTATACAACTGAATAAAATAATTGTAAAAACATCGGTCCAAATTCTTTCGCTTTTTTGTTTCCGATGCGATGAACCGATAAGGCGGATTATATCCGTTGTTGCCAAACACGAGCACATGATATTATTATTGAGACAGGGCGGTACTCAAACTTCCAAAGGGCTATAACTTTGTTACTTTAATTTTACCAGAAAAATGGTAAAGGAAAAAACATTTCTTTTGATCAGATCTACTCACTGTTAAAATAAATGACTCAACTTCGAAGTTGTACTAGGTACTATATTGTTTAGATAGCCCACATGCTGTGTGTGTGTGTGTGTCTGAAACAGTAAATGATTGTCATATTGGTGAAAAATGGCTATGTGA